GTCACTGCTGGAAGATGGCAGGAGGGAGGGGTTACTATATTTGGGCAAAAATGGCCGCTCCCAGACTCTGTGATCGCTAGAAAATTATTGCATTTTTTACTGATTAATGTTAAAATCATAAAATCACCATGAACGTTTTAGTTTTAGGTATAAATAATGATCCATTGATTATTTCTTGCTGACTGGACTTTTCCTTTAAAGCAGAGCTGCTGTGCAGCAGAGAGCTAACTGTGACCTTTTAGTATTGAGGAGATGTTAGTGGAGGGGGGAGGGGGAGGTCCCCATCTGGAAGGATTCAGACAGAGGTGAAAGGTCACATCAACGCGCACAAATAGATCTGCTTGCTTTAACCACCCAAACCAGGACAGAACAGCTTCAGATGGCTCCATACTGCTGAACTCCTCCATGTTCAATCATAATGGGAGAAATAGGTTGGATTTTATCTGCGATGAAAGAAAAACTCTCAACATTTTGAACCTTTTCTTTGATTAGGTTCAGTCTCGTTAATGTTCTATATCGTTATTGTATGTTATACAATTTTATTTATTATTTCTCAACCTGTCTTGGGTGGCAGATGGAAACAAGTCCTGTTTAAAAATATTTATTTTAAATAAGAGTGAAAGTAAAACTAAGGGATTCGCATCAGGTCCTTCAATAATTGATTGCTGGTAAAATGGCTGTTAAAAAAAAATGGCTGTTTGATAGTTAAAATAAATTAATAAGGTATTTGAAAATTATACATATATATAAATAAATGAAAATATTGGAGTATTTTCCTTCTTTTGATGTTAAAGCTGAATGTTTGTTGTTTACTAAAATGGTTCTGACCAAAATAGAAGACTTGTGATGTAGTGAGATTTACATTTTGCTTTGTAGAAAAAATAGGAAAGTTTTTGCAAAATCAGTACAGAATATACTGTGTATTTTTTAACAATAAGGTTTTATTTTTGTATGTTTTTAGTAGAAAAGTGCCACCTAAAGGACGTGATTGAAAATATATGGAAAGTGCTTTAATGTCAGTTCAGAACATGGTTAACTGAGCTCTACGTGGTTTATGACCATTAAATGAGGAATGCTGAGCAAGATTAAAGAATGCTTCTCTAATATTTGCTTAAAGAAAAGTAAAGTTTGTGTGGATTAGTTAGTACTTCTTTAATGCACAAGAACATTTCTTCGGACATAGACGCGTCAGCTGAGAAAAAAGCTAATGAACATCAAGAAAGAAAGAAAATCTAATCTTATTGAACAATATAGTGACTTTGAACCAGAACAAATAAGCAGCCACTATAAACTGCATAATAACACCCAAAATGATTAAAAGGTGGAGAAAGTTGGTAAGCTGCCGTTTGGTACGGACAGAGGTGATAAAATGAGAGAGAACTCAGAGGATGACGGTGAAAACACGCCTGTTCAGCTCGGAAGGTTTCAGGAATAATTTCCAGCTGAAATCAACATTAAGATTGAGAATAACTTTCCGGGTCTTATTGCAAACATTTGTTGCCTGTTTAAAGTTCACACATCAAACCTCGTCTTTCTAGTCAAAGCAAATTAGTATTTTTCCCCTTATGGATTTGTAATGAAGCAGAAAAGCTTGAAAGAACCTCTGAGACTCACTACGTTAAGTCAGGAGGTTTCACACTACATCCATCCATAAACGCGCTCACTGATGGTGGTGAGCTTCACTGTAGCCACAGCTGCCCTGGGGCGCACTGACAGAAGCCAGGCTGCTGTATTCTGGCCCCAACGGGCCCTTTGGGCTAACCTGACTCCGCCAGATGGATTAGCTCCGCATATCCATCTGGAAAC